ATATATATATTCTTATGTATGTACAAGTACATATTCGGTAGCTTTGTTGGCTGTTGTTGTTGTGCCATAATTTGGAGCGCACTCTCGAGTGCGTGTCCTGTGGAAGGCTTGTGCGCCAGTGCAGATTCGGGGTGCAGCTTGTATTTTGCATCAGCCGATGGTTTTCCATCAGCCGGAAACTGCGAGGAGCCGAAAGACGTGAAGGACATCAGGCTGCCTGGAATGGCATAGCCACATGGGCGTGGGTCAAAATTAAACCACCAGGGGACAGCAGGTTTTAGTCATTGTTTCCATTTGCCAGGGTTCCATTTTGGCGTTACCCTGTTTTTGACCCACCGCCATTTGTCCAGAGTACAAGGGGAGGTTGGGTTTAAGCTTGCAACATAGGCCTAGAGACTGCGACTGCTTAACGGCGCGATCGGGTACGTCAGGCAAGTGGTTAGTAAGCCTGGTTATACCCCACTTAGGAGACTTGTATCTTATAGCCACATTATGTGGGTTACAAGCATGGTTATTACGCGCTTGCTAAGTACCCTGCCCCTTCAAGGCACAGCCAGTAGGCATGGAACAACGTCAGAGTGCGAAGTGAGGTTCTACAATGACCACGTCAAAACCTTCTTGCAACACAAGAGCAGGGAGAAGCATGCGCCGCCTGCCGTCACCGATCTACGTCACGTCAATCTCTCGTTGAACCCCGACGGCGTGGAGAGCGAATGCGAGTCCAGTTCGTCGTGATGAAAGCAGGGCTCAGATCTTTGCAATACCAAATTGCCAATTCGCGCTTGTCACCTGGGTAGAGGAGCTCTCAGACTCAGGGTGGGGCAAAACCGCTTAACACAAGCCGCGAAACAAGGGAATGCCCCCCATAGACTGTTCAAAGCAAAGAGGTGGCCTCACCCCGTCAACGTCGACCGTTGAATTGTCAATGCCATTCGCTTCAGAGAAAAAAAAGCGGAAGAACTGCTTGCGTATGCAGTCGCGGCCGAGGTGGCAGTCCCATCTGCTCAAATGTGGGGCTTGCTCTCAATATTATTCCCTTCGGCCCCCCAAGATGGGTTATGGGTCAAACTTGAACCACCAGGAATTGGGTCGAAAGTTTAGTTCCTGTTTCTATTTACCCGGGCAAGCCATTCCGTGTACCTGTTTTTGACCCACTCAAATGACACGGGCAACTATTCCCATGTGGGTGAAATATATCATATCGTTTTTGGTGGGAAAACCACCCAATGGTCATCCCATGTATGCCGGACCTTTTGATCAATCCTCAGCTGTGCCAGGTGAAATGGGTGGGTGAGTCTCCCGGCGACTCTGCGGCCATTTAGCGGCATTTGGCAGTTTGCACCAGCAGTTTCAGGTGGATGATGTTTTGGATACCAGGACCAACAACTGGCAAGATCACTACAGTGAATAGGCTGATGGCGTGCAAGTCGCTTTTTGCTTGGGTATGCAAGCAATCCGTGCATGCCTCCTCGCCTAGTTCCACTGAAGCTACTGGCTCCGGTCCTCTCTTGCCAAAGGGTCGAACAGACATGGGTGGCTCGTTGTTTTTGAGTTGGTATCCCCTTTCGGTTGATTTGTCCTTTGGGGGAAAGCCCCAAGAGGTTGAAGGGCTACTTTTCTCGGAAGGCCAGCCCCAAGATTTAAGAGGAGACCAAAAGGAAAATCCAAAAGGCAAAACCAGAAGGAAGAACCAAAAGGAACAAGCATCATTCTAGGGGGCTCATTCCTGAAAACGACGAGGGCGCCCACATTGGTCGCCGAGAGTCGAGGTCTGTGCCTCAGCGGAGACCTTCGAGGACCTGGCGAGCTTGCTGGGGGTGGCGCCGCAGTTGCTGGAGGAGCGGGCTTGGCCGGAAGAACCGGGGACGCGTTCCCAGCTTTCCAGCGGAAGTTGTTTTTTTTGCCCTGAAAAAAATCCCCGATTTCTGGTACCCGCGGAAAAAGGACAGGCCCAATTTCAGAGAGAAGTCGATGTCGTCAACCTTTTGTCTCTTTGTTTTTACAGAGTGCGAGTCTACACGCAGCAGCTCTGTAATAATCTGAAGACATTTGCTGCCCATGCAGAAACAGTGATCTGCATTGCCCAGTTTCGCCTGCTCCGCGCTATTCGACTCTTTTCAGCTTCCTGTGCAGGTGGCCCTCAGCACAAAGAAGCGTGTGATGTTCCGTCCTTAGCCACTTTGGGGTCCCTCACACAGATCAGCACTAAAGGGGCTGATGGGGTGTGAGCGATCCAGAATTCCGTGTTCGTTTTTGGTTCTGTTGCCAGCGAGCCGGCGGTTTCCTGCGGAATGTAGCGTGTTTTTGGCTGTGATTTGAGTCGTTTCAGTTCGAACATAGGATCACAGAGGCTTCTTTTGGCTCTGCTTTTTTGGTTTTGCTGTTTTTGGTCTTCTTTATTTTTCCCGCCTTCTTTTTTTGGTTCTCCTTCTTTGTTTTGATTCCGCTTTTTCGTTCTGTCCTCATCCCCCTTCCCTTTGTTTGAGGCCTCGGGGCTCCATCGTGTCCTCGCCGCTGTCGCCCGCACGCTCAGAGTGCCAAACTGGGCGGTGAATGTTTCATGGCCCACTCACAAATTTAGCTTCCCTTTTTGTTGGAAAAAACCTGGCAACAGCAAATTATACCCTCCCCCAGACTGACATGGAAGCTCCCAAGACCCCCTTGGAAGACTTGGTTCCGTTTGCAGAGGCCTTCTCGGAGCTTCCGTTTATGTTGGTTGGTCTGAGGGAGACCCACAACTCTGAGGGTCTTTGTTACTTTGAGCAAGCAGACAAGTACATCAACATTTTCTTATCAGTGCCAATAGAGAGCCCACGTCTGTTACCAGTGGACATGTTGTTCGTATATGTCTCGGGCCGGCAGTCTACCGAAGTCTACCGAAAGGACCGCAGCGATGATGTCAGCACATAGGCCCGCAGGTCGTCAAAGAACGCACACCAAATGAGCATGGAGAGCTTAATGAAGACCAGTTTGTCAACTCCTCGTTCTCACTTGCTTGCCGCTTCGAACCAACAGAGCGGCGTGAGCTGTTCTGGTAAGGGATAATCCCAACCAGAAATGGGTGCAGCCGCCTTTCCAACCCTTTGCATTGTTCTGGATGGAAGGCTTTGATTATGACTCACATGGGAATTTTGTGGGAGACTGAGCAAACTTTACCACAAAGTCCAAACGAAGCTCTGTGTGATATTGCCGATGGCGCAACAAGCTGTAAGGGAATGTTTCAAGGCAGCCGAGACTCTGAAGGAACACAGCGAGCTTTCCCCCGAAAGTATGCTTGACCTCCCAAGTGACATACCCTTCCTCCAATCATGGAAGTGGCGCTTTGGGCTTCCCCAAAGGAAATTAGCCTTCTAAAAGCCTCCTGTCAACTTCCATGTTTGGAGGGTATTCCAGGCCCAATCAAGCTGTGGAGCTCACGCAGTCCATCGCGCGCTCGATTTACGAGGCGGGGGGGGCGGGGCGCGGGGTTTGGCTGGCTCGCTTGCAAACGGTTCTTATTGCTGGTGAGATGGGTAGGGAATTGAGGGATTCCCTCAAAGGAACCACCAGTTTGATGGTTTATAGGATTATTGCATCGTCGGCAGGGCCACACGATTCATCAAGCTGATTCATCACATGTCCAGGCCGAGCCTGCGTTGGTTCTGTATCTAATAAACACAACCCTCCAAAGTCGGATTTTTGCGCATGTATCAGCTCTAGAATTTCCATTTCTCATTCCCTACCTATCGCACCAGAAAGTTTCCTCTGTCAGCTTTAGTTTTCAAGGATGGCTCAGGGCTCATATGCCCTTGACGAACGTCCGGATATGGGAGGTTCAAGGCCTGTTTGATTCGCCGCGACACTGTGCAACACTAGGTCCTTTTCCTGCATGTCGGCGCACGTTGTCGTCAGTCTTACAATATTCAGACATTCCGCTGCAAGTTCCTCGGTCTACTTGCAATATTCGGAAGCTCCGCTGCAGGCTCATCATGGCCTTGCTTCCCCCCACTTCCCCCACTTTGTGGAGAGAAGCACATGGATCATTATTTGACCCATGGGCATCCATTGATGCAAAAGAAAAGGAGAGAGATCCGCATTTTTCGGCGTTTTTTCAAGGCCAAGGGTCGACCGTTTCGGTGAGGCGCTCTTTCTTTGGGCAGTCGGCCTGATCAACACCATGAGCCGTGGAGGCTCGCGGCTCGCTGCGATGCACGTGGCCACTTGCCACATGGGATCTGCCCTTTCTTTTAGGTGGCGAGGGAATCCAAAGATTCGGGGGGTGAAACGAGCTCAAGCCATGGTCAAGATCCTTGACTTGGGAATCCCCAGGCCATGGTAAAGGATCCCTTAATTCACTCCTTTACTTGGTTAATTGGAAAATCCTTTTCTTTTTTGATTTATATTAAGACAAATGCGGATGGATGGGTCCCGATGGCAGTCCTCAGCTTTTTTGCAGGCAAAGCGACTCCTGCAATGCCGCCGCCGCCTCGGAGCCCGGGGCGGGAGTGATAAACCTGCGTAACGGATGAAATATCTCTCTTTCTCTCTCTCTCTCTCTTTCTTGCTGTCTGGGGGCACTTCCGGCTGCGTGAAGCAAGAAGTTCTCAGCTACCTTCCATGAGGTTTGCCGGTGTGCTGGACATCTTTGGCTTCGAGGCTCGTTGAGAGCTCAATGCCTGAGCGAACCCGGAGCAGCCCCAACGCCTCGCAGCGATGTGGAAAGATGGTATGCCACGTGTTGATCAACATTCCCTTCGGCCCCCAAATGACCATGGGCAATTTTTCACATGACATATCATCTTTTTAGTTCTCTGCAATGGTCATCTTAAGGGACCTTTTGATAAACTCCCGCGTGTTTCGGAGAGGCTTTGGGGCTTTGACCGAAACTTGTGGCGTGCTGAAAACGCTCAGTTTGAAGCCAAGGTGGTTGGCTACCCTTGTGGCAAACCCGGATTGCAGGCCTTCAAGCTGAATTCCTTGGAGCAACTGTTCATAAACTACTGCAACGAGCGCTTGCACCAGCGGGATCCTCAAGCTTACACTGGTCACAGATGGAGTCGGCAGATGCGCTGCAGCGATGCATAGCAGACTGCGGCTGCCTTTTGGCATGCTAGCTTGATTGAGGCCCCGTTGTCTGGTCGGCCGTGGCTTGCCACAGGATCTATTTGCTTGTTTGCAGCGAGATCCTTTCCAGAGCTACAGCAAAGAATCATACTCTTAGACGGTCGCTGACTGCTTGCCTTGGAGTTGTGCTGTCAGCATTACCCAACGGAGTGTCAGAAATCGGATGGTTCTGTGCCGGGGCCTTGTTTGGCGCTGTCAGACACTGTGCTGTGAGGAATGCAAGACAGGGATTGAAAGGTCCTGATTGCTGGAAAGAAACGCAAACGTTGAAATTTGCTATGCAAGCATAGTCAAGAGGAGCCATTTTTTTATTTTATTTTAAATGCGTCTCCGCTGCGGGTCGCAACACATTGCAGGTTGCAGGCCGTTGCTTGCCACAGGAGCTGTTTGCCTATTTTCAGCGAGATCCTTTCCAGAGCTACGGCAAAGAATCATTCTCTTAGACGGTCGCTGACTGCTTGCCTTGGAGTTGCGCTGTCAGCATTACCTTGCGAATTGCAGTGTTGCATAGCAGACTGTGGCTGCCTTTTGGCATGCTAGCCTGATTGAGGCCATTGTCTGGTTGGCCGTTGCTTGCCACAGCAGCTGTTTGTTTGCTTGCTTGCTTGTTTGCTTGTTTGTTTGTTTGTTTGTTTGTTTGTTTGTTTGTTTGTTTGTTTGCAGCGAGCTCCTTTCCAAAGCTACAGCAAAGAATCATTCTCTTAGACGGTCGCTGACTGCTTGCCTCGGAGTTAGCTGTCAGCATTACCCAACGGAGTGTCAGACCCAACGGAGTGTCAGAAATCGTATGATTCTGTGCTGGGGCCTTGTTTGGCCCTGTCAGACATTGTGTTGCGAGGATTGCAAGACAGGGATTGAAAGGTCCTGATTGCTAGAAAGAAATGCACACGTTCAATCTTGCTATGCAGGCATAGTTAAGAGGAGACCTTATACAAATTGGATGCTCAGCTGCTTTGCGCGTCTCCGCTGCGGGTCGCAACACATTGCAGGTTGCAGGCCGTTGCTTGCCACAGGAGCTGTTTGCTTATTTCAGCGAGATCCTTTCCAGAGCTACGGCAAAGAATCATTCTCTTAGACGGTCGCTGACTGCTTGCCTTGGAGTTGCGCTGTCAGCATTACCCAACGGAGTGCCAGACGTCGGATGGTTCTGTGCTGGGGCCAAACAAGGCCCTGTCAGACATTGTGTTGCGAGGATTGCAAGACAGGGATTGCAAGGTCCTGATTGCTAGAAAGAAATGCACACGGTCAAACTTGCTACGCAGGCATAGTCAAGAGGAGACCTTATAAGATTTAGATGCTCAGCTGCTTTGCGCGTCTCCGCTGCGGGTCGCAACACATTGCAGGTTGCAGGCCGTTGCTTGCCACAGGAGCTGTTTGCTTAGTTGCAGCGAGATCCTTTCCAGAGCTACGGCAAAGAATCATTCTCTTAGACGGTCGCTGACTGCTTGCCTCGGAGTTGCGCTGTCAGCATTACCTATCGGAGTGTCAGAGCCAACGGAGTGTCAGAAATCGGATGATTCTGTGACAGGGCCTTGTTTGGCCCTGTCAGACATTGTGTTGCGAGGATTGCAAGACAGGGATTGAAAGGTCCTGATTGAAAGAAAGAACTTAGTTAAGAGGAGACCTTATAAAATTTAGATGTTCAGCTGCTTTGCGCGTCTCCGCTGCGGGTCGCAACACATTGCAGGTTGCAGGCCGTTGCTTGCCACAGGAGCTGTTTGCTTATTTGCAGCGAGATCCTTTCCAGAGCTACGGCAAAGAATCATTCTCTTAGACGGTCGCTGACTGCTTGCCTTGGAGTTGCGCTGTCAGCATTACCCAACGGAGTGTCAGAAGTCGGATGGTTCTGTGCTGAGGCCTTGTTTGGCCCTGTCAGACATTGTGTTGCGAGGATTGCAAGACAGGGATTGAAAGGTCCTGATTGCTAGAAAGAAATGCACACGTTCAATCTTGCTATGCAGGCATAGTTAAGAGGAGACCTTATACAAATTGGATGCTCAGCTGCTTTGCGCGTCTCCGCTGCGGGTCGCAACACATTGCAGGTTGCAGGCCGTTGCTTGCCACAGGAGCTGTTTGCTTATTTCAGCGAGATCCTTTCCAGAGCTACGGCAAAGAATCATTCTCTTAGACGGTCGCTGACTGCTTGCCTTGGAGTTGCGCTGTCAGCATTACCCAACGGAGTGTCAGAAGTCGGATGGTTCTGTGCTGAGGCCTTGTTTGGCCCTGTCAGACATTGTGTTGCGAGGATTGCAAGACAGGGATTGAAAGGTCCTGATGGCTAGAAAGAAATGCAAACGTTTAAACTTGCCATGCAGGCATAGTCAAGAGGAGACCTTATAATTTTTAGATGTTCAGCTGCTTTGCGCGGCTCCGCTGCGGGTCGCAACACATTGCAGGTTGCAGGCCGTTGCTTGCCACAGGAGCTGTTTGCTTGTTTGCAGTGAGCTCCTTTCCAGAGCTACGGCAAAGAATCATACTCTTAGACGGTCGCTGACTGCTTGCCCTGGAGTCGCTTTCAGCATTACCCAACGGAGTGTCAGACATCCTGCGTTGTGGTCGGGCCTTGCTTTGTCTTGACTGTGGGATGCAGAATGTGATGTAGGAACATGTCGACATTGTTCACGGAAGGCCTGTGGAGAGTATTTTATGTCCTTCTGGTCAGAAGGGTTGCGGTCTCCTGGGCTCTATCAACCGCAGCTTGCAATTGTCACCGTGAACGGCTGCTCTGGATGGTGGGTCGCAACAGATTGCAGGTTGCAGGGTTGTCGTGCAAGCTGCGCCTGCCCTTGCATGCTAGGTTGATTTGGGGCTGTTGTTTGGTTGGCCGTTGCTTGCCACAGGAGCTGTTTGCTTGTTTGCAGTGAGCTCCTTTCCAGAGCTACGGCAAAGAATCATACTCTTAGACGGTCGCTGACTGCTTGCCCTGGAGTCGCTTTCAGCATTACCCAACGGAGTGTCAGACATCCTGCGTTGTGGTCGGGCCTTGCTTTGTCTTGACTGTGGGATGCAGAATGTGATGTAGTCCGATGTCGACATTGTTCACAGAAGGCCCGTGGAGAGTTTTCATGTGCTTCTGGTCAGAAGGGTTGCTTGCCTCCGAGGCAGCCCTCACTCAAGGACGGACAAGAGAAAATGGCTCGGTCTCCGAGAGCCATTGAAGCAGCGGTCTCCTGGGCTCTATCAACCGCAGCTTGCAATTGTCACCGTGAACGGCTGCTCTGGATGGTGGGTCGCAACAGATTGCAGGTTGCGGGGTTGTCGTGCAAGCCGCGGCTGCCCTTGCATGCTAGCTTGATTTGGGGCTGTTGTTTGGTTGGCCGTTGCTTGCCACAGGAGCTGTTTGCTTCTCCTTTTCAGAGCTACGGCAGAGAACATGCTCTTAGACGGTCGCTGGCTGCTTGCCCTGGAGTTGCGCTTTCAGCATTACCCAACAGAGTGTCAGACATCCTGCGTTGTGGTCGGGCCTTGGTTGGTCTTGAGTGTCGGATGCAGAATGCGATGCAGGCCCATATCGACATTGTTCACGGAAGGCCTGTGGAGAGTATTTTATGTCCTTCTGGTCAGAAGGGTTGCTTGCCTCAGAGGCAGCCCTCACTCAAAGACGGACAAGAGAAAATGGCTCGGTCTCCGAGAGCCATTGAAGCAGCGGTCTCCTGGGCTCTATCAACCGCAGCTTGCAATTGTCACCGTGAACGGCTGCTGTGGATGGTGGGTCGCAACAGATTGCAGGGTTGTCGTGCAAGCCGCGGCTGCCCTTGCATGCTAGCTTGATTTGGGGCTGTTGTTTGGTTGGCCGTTGCTTGCCACAGGAGCTGTTTGCTTGTTTGCAGTGAGCTCCTTTCCAGAGCTACGGCAAAGAATTATACTCTTAGACGGTCGCTGACTGCTTGCCCTGGAGTTGCGCTGTCAGCATTACCCAACGGAGTGTCAGATATCCTGCGTTGTGGTCGGTCCTTGGTTGGTCTTGAGTGTCGGATGCAGAATGTGATGCAGGCCCATGTTGACATTGTTCACGGAAGGCCTGTGGACAGTATTTTATGTCCTTCTGGTCAGAAGGGTTGCTTGCCTCAGAGGCAGCCCTCACTCAAAGACGGACAAGAGAAAATGGCTCGGTCTCCGAGAGCCATTGAAGCAGCGGTCTCCTGGGCTCTATCAACCGCAGCTTGCAATTGTCACCGTGAACGGCTGCTGTGGATGGTGGGTCGCAACAGATTGCAGGTTGCAGGGTTGTCGTGCAAGCCGCGGCTGCCCTTGCATGCTAGCTTGATTTGGGGCTGTTGTTTGGTTGGCCGTTGCTTGCCACAGGAGCTGTTTGCTTGTTTGCAGTGAGCTCCTTTCCAGAGCAACGGCAAAGAATTATACTCTTAGACGGTCGCTGACTGCTTGCTCTGGAGTCGCTTTCAGCATTACCCAACGGAGTGTCAGACATCCTGCGTTGTGGTCGGGCCTTGCTTTGTCTTGACTGTGGGATGCAGAATGTGATGTAGTCCGATGTCGACATTGTTCACAGAAGGCCCGTGGAGAGTTTTCATGTGCTTCTGGTCAGAAGGGTTGCTTGCCTCCGAGGCAGCCCTCACTCAAGGACGGACAAGAGAAAATGGCTCGGTCTCCGAGAGCCATTGAAGCAGCGGTCTCCTGGGCTCTATCAACCGCAGCTTGCAATTGTCACCGGGAACGGCTGCTCTGGATGGTGAGTCGCAACAGATTGCATGTTGCAGGGTTGTCGTGCAAGCTGCGGCTGCCCTTGCATGCTAGGTTGATTTGGGGCTGTTGTTTGGTTGGCCGTTGCTTGCCACAGGAGCTGTTTGCTTGTTTGCAGTGAGCTCCTTTCCAGAGCAACGGCAAAGAATTATACTCTTAGACGGTCGCTGACTGCTTGCTCTGGAGTTGCGCTGTC